GAGGAGAAAAGATGCATACAATATACAGCCAAAGATCAGATAACACACATTGTTTTATAGTAGATACACCAATTTTTAGAAGCTGGGCTCTTGTGAGGAACTACAACAAGAAACCTCTTCATCACTGAAAATCTGCATTCTAGAAATCTCTTTAATTCTCAGGGTCTTCAGCTCGCTAGCTAGCCTCTCTCCCTCCTGCATCATCGCCCTTTTTTCTTCTTCTGCCAGCTCTCAAATGCTCTTTCAAAATCCATTCTCTTCTGGAACATGCTCAGTCCACATTAGGATGTTTCATGGTTGTTGTTTTTCTGTCCATTAATTTACAAAGCCATTTTTCTGCATATCTGAGGAACCATTCTACTGTAAAGAAATTCCTGCTTTGTCTGTGGGTGGCCCAGTTTTGTCACTTTCATGACTGGCATGAGCCATCCACTTTACTATTAGAAGTAGTGACATTATAGCATATCAATATAAATAGTTTTTTTAATGTAACGATCCTTATTATTTAGTTGAGAAACAAGAACTAGACAGAGTTCCATGACCATATTTCTTCAAAAAAACTCAAAAAAACTAGAATTTTCTTTCAATTACATTTTAATTAAATCCTTTTGCATACAACAGATCACTAAAGTCTGGAAACCATAAGAAAACATGTAGCTCTTTACTTTCCTCTGCCTCTAGCAGCTTTATATGATTTAAGATAACCAGCCTTTTTGTACGCATCTACATCTGTAGTAGAAACAATGATCAAATAAAAAGCAGTTTCCTGATCATTTAAAATTAAACATGGACACTTCTATTTGAGCAAATTATAACCAGTTCTAAAACAAGGGGATTTTATGTACCACATTAAAAGTCGTATGGCAGCCATAAATGCAAAGAAAAGTACAGTAAAACCATGCAGATTATAATATAATCAGACTTCAGAATCCAAATGCAAAATCTATAACTGGAGTTTAAATAAAACTGGATGTATAGTGACACAGTGATGTATAGTCCTATGTACTCAATGGCTCCCAGTAAAACAGGAAGAACAACAAGGATCAAAGAAGGCCATTGCCACCAAGTGCTGCAATAAATTCTTTTGTGGTCCCAGCCTTAATCCATTTATTCTCAAGAGGATCTACTAATGTATTTGGAGTATGTGTGTGATGATGGGTTTATATCCTAAGTGCACATCCTATATATATATAAAAGACCTAGCGTATTGGCACTTTTCGCCTCTCCCATTGACTGTGCACTCCATCAGCCACTGGCCCATCAACCGCCACTTAAGAGTCCTCACGTGCCATTGGCTTGGTACACTCCTCTCCCCTGCCCACTGCCAGCTTGGCCCCTCTTCCCTGTCTGAATAAACTGCCAAAACAGCTGTCTCTCCTGATGAAGATGCTTCTACTGCCGTTGTTTCACTCCTCCGCATCTGGCTGGCTACTGAAAGGGCTGTTCCCTGCTCAAGAAGAGGCTTCTATTGCTGCCGCTTCTCCTGATTGGCTCCTCATGGCTGGCTGGCTGGCTACTTAGGTGAGCCACTGGCCGTCAAGCCATTCTCTTCTCCTCCTGCTGTGGGGCTCACTTTCCCCTCAGTGGCTGTTGCTAGGCAACCAAGCTCGGTTCTGTCAGTAAAAAGGCAGAGGCAGGAGACCCTTTCCAGGCCTACTTTGGCCTTTGTGGAGAACTCATTGGGGCCAGTCCTGGCTAGGGTTGCCAGCTCCAGGTTGGGAAATTTCTGGAGATATTGTGGTGGAGTCTACAGAAACCAGAATTGGGGGGAGGGGAGAGGCCTCAGCTGAACAGAATGTCATAGAGTCCACCCTCCAAAGCAGTTATTTTCTTC